GCAAAACAGGTACCTATAACCCTCTGTACCATCTCACTGACTCTCCCTTAAAAAAATTCTTTTTAAGTATATAAAGATAAATAGATAGTCTCTTAAGACATTTCACTTGCTTCTACTTACTGTAACCAACGACATGGCTTCAGGCAAGTTACCTACTATTTTAGGACCTCAGTTGACCCATTAACTGACAGGAAAGATTCAGGCCCTCTTTGCAGGGGTGTCAGAATACCAACTCAGACAAAGACATAGGCATGGAAGCCACGGGGGGTTGGGGAGTGTTACAGAGTGTTTGCATATAAAAAGCTATGTTTGAAGGGTTTGTTTGCTTTGTATAACATTCTCAAAAGTTCTTTATCTCTAGGGACTCCCAGATGACAGGGAGGGATACTGCTTAGAGCTGCAAGCAGGTCAGAAGGAAACCTGTCTGTTCCCAGTCTCTTGGCCCTGACACAGGCTCACTCCAGTATTTGCAAAGCCCACAGGAGGGAACTAAGAAAGGCTCCCTACCCAGGGCTCCCTAGGAAACAAACTAGCACCCAGGCCAATAGGCTGTTAAGCCAGTGAAGTTCTAGCCTCTGTTTGTACTGCATATACCTGAAGGATGAGCTGAAGTTGGAATTTAGAATTCCAGAAATCCTTGGAATTCTGTGTCCAAATGTGGCTGAGAAGGGCATGGGGGCTTGGATCAGTTGTGTTAATGCCCTTTTAAAAATTATCAATCTATCTCCAGTTCTTTTCATAAATCCTTGGAGGCATATTTTTTTCATTGATATAGTGCTGAAATAGATTTGCTCATGCACAATTAAGGAAAATTCTCTACATTTTTAAATAAGATTTCCCACTGGTCATAAATAAACATGCAGCAGCCAGACTAAGCATCCATTCCACCTATGTTCTTTTTCTTCTTTTTATTTACTTATTTTTATTTGGGGGCCACACCCTGTGATGTTCAAGGGTTACTCCTGGCTCCTCACTCAGGAATCACCCCGGCAGTCTCAGAAGACCATATGGGGATTGAACCTGGGTCAGCTGCATGCAAGGCAAGTTCCCTTCCCTAGCAAGTTCCCACTATGCTATCTCTCCATCCCCCACCCATGTTCTAAGACCAGCACAGCTCTGAACTGTAGAAGCATAACCTATAAATGGAGACCTTAGATCCCTTAGAGATTCTGAGATTTGTACTTTTGCTTCTAAGGGTTTGACAAGTGCCCTCCAAGAGAGTTCCAAGTTCTCATTTCTAGTGCCCATATGAGAAATGAAGAGCTGACTCTTAAAATCTTTATTTATTTATCTACTTATTATTGAATCACTGTGAGATACAGTTACAAAGCTTTCATGTTTGAGTTTCAGTCATACAATGATCGAACACCCATCCCTCCACTAGTACACATCTTCCACCACCAATACCTCCAGTATTCCACCACCCCCTTCCCAGCCCTCCCCCTGCCTCTATGGCAGACAATTTCCCCCATACTCTCTCTCTACTTTTGGGCATTATGGCTTGCAATATAGATACCGGGAGACTATCATGTTTGGTCCTTTACTTTCAGCACACATCTCCCATCTCGAATGATTCCACCAACCATCACTGACTTAGTGATCCCTTCTCTCATCCAGCTTCCTTCTACCCCAGAAGAGCTGACTTTTTGTTTGTTTTAGGGCCTCCACTGATGGTGCTTAGGGCCTACTCCTTTCTCTGTGCTCAGGGATCACTCCTGGTGAGTCTCAGGGAACCATATGGTAATGAATCGAACCTGGATCAGCCGTGTGCAAGGCAAGTGCCTTACCTGCTGTACTATCTGATGGCCCCAAGAAGTGGAGGGTTGGGAGCTTGGTGCCTAACAGGAGTCTGGCTTCCATTCACCTCTGCACATGCTCAGTAAGGGGCAGCTGGAACTGGCTTGGCCCTAACCAAGACGCTACACAGACTGAGCTCCACTCAGCCAAGCAGACCTTCCCTGAGCTTCTTATTTTTATTTTGCTTGTTGGGGGCCACGCACTTAGGGCTTATTCCTGGCTCTGAGCTCAGGGATCACTCCTGGTGAGGCTTAGGAGACCATAACAGGGTGCTGGGGATTGAACCTGGGTCAACCACATGCAAGGCAAGTGCCCTATGTGCTGTGCTATCACTCCAGCCCTGCTTCTTGGACCCTTGAAGCCTGTCCTCAGTCCTGACACTGTACACTGTGTTTAGTCCTCAAGTCAGAATGAGCGGAGAGGCAGCGATGGAGAACCATGATCCGAGGGCCCCGCCAAGCACCCTTTTTGTTCTTCTGCAACACCCAGGTTATTTAGATTTTTATCCAGCTGGAATTGGTGACTGGATGTGTCACTTGTTTTTCCAGAAAATTTCTTCAGTGGGAGTTTGGCTTCTTCTGATACCTGTGGCTATCCAGAAATTCTGCTTCCACTCTGTTCTCCTATAAGAAAATTGTTGAATCTCTGGTCTGCTCATGAATTTACCAGATAGGAAGCCCAGCATTCCATCCTAGAACCACCTGGTGCCAGGGTAACTCTACAATTGCCGCTGAGTACCACTAGGTAGGCCACACTAAAAAAATAAAATGGCTAAAAATTGAGCTCTCATTTGACCCAGCAATACCACTTCTGGGAATATACCCTGGAGGCTCAAAAAAGACACAGCAGAAAACCATCTACACTGCTATGTTCATTGCAGATCTATTTACCATAGCCAGAATCTGGAAATAACCTGAGTGCCCAAGAACAGACAATGGATAGAGAAACTATGGGACATCTACACAATGGAATACTATGTAGCTGTCAGGAAAAATGAAATCATAAAATTTGCCTATAAATGGATGGACATAGAGAATATCATGCTGAGTGAAATGAGTCAGAAGGAAATGCACAGATACAGAATGACTACGTTCATTTGTGGTATGCACTATAGAACTGTCCTCCCATTGTTCATCGATTTGCTCAAGTGGACACCAGTAACATCTCATAACAAATTGTGAGAATTTTTACTGTTTTTGGCATATTGAATACATCACAGATAGCTTGCCAGGCTTTGCTGTGCAGGTGAGACACTCTCAGTAGCTTGCCGGGCTCTTCGAGAGAGGCAGAGGAATCGAACCCAGGTTGATCGTGTGCAGGGCAAATGTCTTATCTGCTGTGCTAATATTTCATCGATTTGCTCAAGCGGGCCCAGTAACATCTCCATTGTGAGACTTGTTACTGTGTTTGTCATATTGAACACGTCACGGGGAGCTTGCCAGGCTTTGCTGTGGGGTGAGATACTCTCGGTAGCTTGCTGGGCTCTCTGAGAGGGGTGGAGGAATCAAACCCGGCTCAGCCAGGACGGCTACATGCAAGGCAAACGCCCTACCGCTGTGCTATCGCTCCAGACCTGGAGCGATATATATATATATCATGGTCACGGTCCTCCCGTTGTTTATTGATTTTCTGGAGCGGGCCCAGTAATGTCTCCATCGTGAGACCTGTTACTGTGTTTGGCATATCGAATACATCACGAGTAGCTTGCCAGGTTTTGCCGTGCGGGCGAAATACTCTCGGTAGCTTGCCGGGCTCTCCGATAGGGGTGGAAGAATCGTACTTGAGTTGGCCATGTAGGCTGCATGCAAGGCAAACGCCCTACCGCTGTGCTATCGCTCCAGCTATATATATATATATATATATATATATATATATATATATATTTATATTTATATATATTTATCAGAAGAAGAATATCCATGGCCAGGGAAAACAAGGGTTAGGAGGGCTGGACAGTGGTTGGAACTAACCACAAGTGCATGGGAGGCTGAGTGTAGGTAAGACAGAGAAAAGACTGCTGTGACAACAATAACTGGGAATGATCACAACTGGACGAGATCTGAGGGTCAAAATAGGTAAGGGATATTCATGATAACTTTCAGTATCAATATTGCAAACCACAATGCCCAAAAGTAGAGAGAGAGAAGAAAAGTGCCTGCCACAGAGGCAGGCAGGGAGTGGGAGATGGGGGGTGATGGGAGGGAACCTGGGGACACTGGTACTGGGAGATGTACACTGGTGGAGGGATTGGTGTTGCAATACAATATGACTGAAATCCAATCTTGAACAGCTTTGTAATGGTCTGTGTCACAGCGATTCAATTAAAAAGTTAAAAATAAATAAGTAAACAAAATAGACAAAATGGATGATGTCATTTTTGTTGATGAAGTCTCCTTAATGAGTTCAACCCATTTTCACCCCTTAACTGATGAGAAGTCTACGCTGACATTCATTTGTGCGGTTGTGTGCATACTCCTTTGTTCTTACCTGGGGATGTGTTTAACTTCAGAGACTCTCCACGCTTTTTCTTCACATCATTCATATTAGAGGGCCTTTGGGGCTTTAAAGAAGTAAAGATAATGTACTGGAAAGCTTAGAGAGCAGAGGTACCCAAACTTAATTGGCCTACTGCCCCCTTTTCAGAAATAAAATCACTCATTGCGTACACCCCTGAGAAACCTACCTTCCTTCAGCAATCAAACAGAGCCCTGTTAACACCCTGACTGAATTGTACCCAGGTTATTCTGTCCCCACTGGGTTATTCCTACAACCTTTACCCCTCCAGGGCATTGGTATTGCCTATTTGGGAAATCATTCTAGATGATTATTTAACAGGGGCTACTTTCAGACTTACACCTGTAGTTCAAAGAGACAAGAAGGTATGGGACGATGAGGTACAGAGTTCAAGCCCCCTGTGATGCTTTCCAGGAAAAATGCTCTTAGCTTGGGGGGAACTTGTATGGGCAGAGGTAGGACCGAAAGTGCCAAGCAGCATGCAATGTACTGATCACAGAGCGAAACTGAGTCCTGGAGGGTGACAAAGACCCAGCAACCAGCCTAGACTTTTCATCCTCTGAGTCCTTCAAGTTTGAAAGAAAGAAATGTTAGACTTGGTTGGCCTGGCAGTATCCATAACAGTCTAACCCTGTCTCCCAAATATCTTCCTAGAAGCCATTGCTGAACTGTGCATCCCTCTTTTCCAGGAGAAAATGCGGAAGTGTCCATGGATGTCTCTCTGGCTTACCGTGATGACTCATTGGCTGAGTGGACTGAAATGGCCCACGAGAGAGTGCCCCGGAAGCTCAAATGTACCTTCACATCCCCCAAGGTACGAGAGCTGCTGTCTACGTGAGTGGTCGATGGTTTTCCAGGTGGGATTGGGGGTGGGGGGGAGGATATTTGCCTTGTAGTTTAGAGAATGTGTTCCTCGGCATGTGTGACCAACAGAAGTTGGCCAGAGTTCTCAGCTGAGAACAGGGTACTGGATCTGTAGGTCATATTCTTGCCAAGGGAGAAAGAGCAGAAGAAAGAATGTCTGTTTGAAATGACTGAGTTGTTTTTCTGGAAAACTTCCATCAAACAGCTCTTGGTTTTTTGGTTTTGGTTAATGGTTGAAAGTGTGTGGACAATGTGACTAAGGTATTCACATGAAGAGTCTTGAGACTCTCTTCAGCTTATTTATTTATTTATTTATTTATTTTTTAGGGTTGCTTTTTTTGGGTCACACCCGGCAATGTGCAGGGGTTACTCCTGGCTCTGCACTCAGGAATTATTCTTAGAGGTGCTCTGAGGACTTAAGGGATTCAGGGGATCGAACCTGGGTCACCGTGTGCAAGACAAATGCCCTACCCACTGTGCTATCGCTCTGGCCCCCTTCACCTCAAACTCTCTTCATTTTAGATCAGTGCTTGTCTCTGTGTCTTAGGTTGATTCTGTGCCCAAGTTCCTGTGGACGGACAGTCCCAGTGAATGCCACAGCCTAGTGGAAGAATCTTAGTTCATTTGTGACTTCTTATACCTTAAGGTCTTCTCAATTGTAGAGGGCTTTTGCTTCTCTGATGTTGGCAGGAAAACACTTATCATTCCCTAACGCCTACCTTCCTAGGAAGGTTATTGCTGAGCATGAAGAGTAAGAAGACATTTCCTTTGGGACAAAGATCTGAGAGTCCTCATAAAATCAAAAGCAGAGATGACATCTCTGCCTAAAAGAATCATGGAACTTGATGGGATCAAGACCCGCTGGGGGCCCTTTTCAAATGCTGGGTACTCATCACACACACATACATTTCCCGAAGATTCAGGGTCCCCCAGCCTTTCTTGAAAGTGTCTCTGTGAAGATGAAGACTGAACCAAACTTAACTGTTGCTATTGGTCACTCATGTTCCTTCAGGGAGCTGGCCTGGAGCCTCACTAGCCGGGTGATCTTTGATGTCCCTCTGGATACAGAAATGTTCTCATTTCCTTGCTGTGAAGAATGTGAGAGACCCAAGGTCACCCAAACACATGTTTGATGTTTCATTCTGTCTTCATCTGAGTCTCTCCACAAGGACTTGGATAACTGTAGTGCCCACCCCACTGATTGGACCCCTCCTCTGCACCCCTGCCCTAGGGCTGGTCTTGCCCAACTTGGGTTTTGCCTGTAACTTCAGGGTTAGGATTCTCCATTAAATGGTTAGGCAGGTTGGAGCCTCAGAAGGCCAGGCCCAGCACAATCTGTCCTCTCTGCAAAGGGCAACAGAGGGTGCACAGTGCCAGCATTGTTCAGAGCATGAATTTGAAGCCAAACAGACTGTGGCCTCTGCCCTCGGCCTCTCGCTACGCGTCAAGCTTACTTCGTTTGCTGAATGGAAACGTGTCTTGGGGGTCTCTCTAAGGACTGAGGAGGTGGGAAAGGACACACACGTAATGACCAGACATTGCACATCTAATCTGAGATATGCTTGAAAATGAAAGAGGAAGTGGGCTGAATGTCCAGCTGGGCTGTGTTGGGGGAACCACCCTGTTCACACCAGCACCTTTTGTGACACTGAGGAAGTCTCCTTCTTCCTGACACCAGAGTCACAGCAGGTGTAGCCACGTTAACGTAACCTGGGAGCTCATAGGAGACAAAGAGTCCTCAGCACACAGCTACAACCCTTAGAATCGAAACCCCTACTAGGGTCTGGAGACCACTCCCAGTGGTACCCTCCAGGACTCCACCAAACGATGCTTGGGAGCGCCTGTGATGCTGGGAATGTAGCCTAAATATGGTGCATGTTAGGAAGCGCCCTAACTGCTGTACAATCTCCCTACCCCCTGTACAAGGTCTCATTGCTTCTCTTCTTCAGTCTGCTAAAGGTAGATGCTTTGTTCCCCATGCCTGCTTTGTCCTTCCACACCCAAAGCAAAAAGCCATCTGGAGTTGTTTTGGGGTCTGCCCTTAGGGGAAGCTGGAGGTATAATGAATGGTTAGAGCGAGACAGGAAGGAGCCAGAAAAAGAAATAACTCTCATTTCCAAATCTTTGGGTGCAGTGGAAGAAATTAATTAAAAACTGCATGGGGGGCTTGCATCGCTGAGATGTGACTGGTGATCTCAGTTAAAGGACCACGGCTTTGGGATAGAGCCTGAATTCTGTTTTTCTCCTCTAAAGAGCCTGATTTTCACCTTCCTATCACCCTTGGAGAGCAGAAGGTACAGAATGGGGGAAGGTGGGTAGGAAGCCTGCAGTTGCCTTTTAATGATGCTTGCTTAATTATCTTTAGGATGTGTTCACTCCTTCTAAAAACGGTATTAAACCTTGAAAAGAAGGAAGGAAATGAATCATCACATATATACTTTCTGATTGCCATGAAATTTAGTCTTAACGTATGAAGATTAAATGAGAAATTGCTTGAAAGCTTTCTCAGTCCCTGGTGGATTATGACTTTTTTTTTTTAAGTTCAGTTGCCACCTGCTGTAATTTGTCCTAATTAGCTAGTCTCAAGTCAGAATTGAGGGGAGGGGGGAAGGAGAGGGGGGAGGGGAGCAAGAGAGGTAAGGGAGGAATGAATTTTTCTTCCTAAGTACCTGAAATAGGACAGAAGCAAAATCTCAGAGCATAAGGAAAAGTCCCCACAGACAGGTCACAATAGATTTCTCTCAGAGCCAGGCAGACAAGCCCAGAATCTCAGACTCCACCATGCCTCTGATTGCTTGTCAAGGTCAGGGCTAGAGTTTGCACTTCCTGCCTGGGAATCCAGTGCCTCTCAGACTCACTCCATCCTTCCTGCTGCCTGTCCCTAGCAGAGCTGGAGATGGCCCCATGGGTAGGGAGAGGAAGACCCGCCTTCATACAATCCCAGCCATGACTTTGGGGAGCTTGGGAGAAATGCAGAATCGAGTCAGTGGCATAGCATCAGACTAAGTCCTTTTACTTTGCTTCCCCTTCAAACACTCTATTTCCAGAAAGAAAATAAGACCCCGACTAGAAACCCATCTGGAAACCTGTTTCTTGCTGTGACCCAACAGAGCAGTCTGCCTTGTCAGTGCAATTTAATCTGAGGCTAAGTCAGAGTCGGGATATTTTCAGCATTTCCCACGATGTCTTAATACTAGCCCCGATGTGTAAGTGAAAAGGAGAAAGAAAGGGAAGCAGAAGATGACTCTAGACTAGGGGAAATCATCCAACCTGGCAGCTGAGGTTTGGAAAAGAAGCCGGATTCTTTCGACAGAAGTTTCTGAAGTTTGCAAGATAGGAACTGTCAGTGCAAAGCCTGGAGACCACCGTGATTGATTAGTGATATCTGAAGTGAGTGGAGACAGGAAGAGAAGCTTCATTTAACCTAGGTGGAATGCACAATCGACCCCTGAAACTTGTCTTATATGTTTCAATCCAGAAGTCTATTCGTGGATGACAAGCTCTGCTGTTCAATAAAGATTTCCCCAAGATCACAGAAGGCTTTGCACACTGGATTATAGATTTGTTCTCTTCTCCTAAATTTGTTCTCACCTTTTTTTTTTCTTTTTAAAAAACACCCGGCTATGCACAGGGGTTTCTCCTGGCTCTGTACCCAGGAATTACTCCTGGTGGTGCTCAGGGGACCATATGGGATGCAGAGGATCGAATCTGGGTTGGCCACCTGCGAGGCAAACACCCTCCCCGCTGGACTATCACTCCGGCTCCTTTTCTCACCTTCTTGTTCTTCTCCTTGTGTTCTTGTTGAGATGCCATGAGGATGACCACAGATTTGACTGTGGTGTTCACACATTTGAATTGTGGTGTTCATTGGGGCTTGCATATCTGGTTGTGGAGCTCACGTGCTCCTCCTTAGCGCTTGCTTCAGTCTCAAACCTTGGTGGTTTTCAGACATTTTGCACTTGCTGTGCTGGGACTCCCAGGCTGTAGAACTGCCAGGATTGCACTGGATGCTGGCATCGATATTGGGGATCCAGTTCCTGCCCTCATTGCTTGCAAGGCAGGTATTTGAGCCAATAAGCCATCTCCCAGCTATTTGAGCTCTTAACTCTGAAGGGTTTTTTTCATTTTCTTTATTTTTGTTTTGGGAGGGGGTAAACACACCTGGCAATGCTTAAAGATTACTCCTGGCTCTGCACTCAGGAATTACTTCTGGCAGAGCTTGGGGGAACCGCAAATGCTCTTCCTGCTGTACTATCTCACTGGCTCTAAAGTTTTGTTTTTTTGTTTTTTTCCAATGATGGAGATGGGGCAAAGCAATGTTCAGCAGGTAGGGCACTTGTCTCACATGCAGCTGGCCTGAGTTTGATCCCTGGCAGCCCACTGGTCCTCCAAATCTCACCAGGAGTAAACGTGAGCACTGCAAGTTATGGCCCCCAAACAAAAGCAAAACAAAAAACAAAAAAAAGAAGGCGATCCAGAGAATTCAGGAAAAACAAGTTAGGTCTCCTGTATCCATGAATAAGGTTAAATGTCACGGTCCTCCCATTGTTCATTGATTTGCTCGAGCGGGCCCGGTAACGTCTCCATCATGAGACTTGTTGTTACTGTGTTTGGCATATCGAATACGTCATGGTAGCTTGAGCCAAGTAAATGTGGAAGTTGTAACAAAACCCAAACATCCATGGCAGACACTCCTCAGCTTTATCTGGGTAAAGTTTCTGCCTACAACAGCTCAAAGCTTTGCATGCCACATACTGGAAGTTCCTTCCACCCAACAGAGAAACAGAGTAGGAGTCCTGGTGGGGAAAGCAGAATTTTGCTTTCAAAATCAAGCTGAGTTCTGACTCTGTAATCTCCCTTTGTTATGTAAAAAGTGCCCCAGCCTCTTCTTTCACCTGACCAGAAGTTCAAAAGACTTTTCTAGACACTGGCCTAAACTGTTTTTATTAAAATATCTTTTTCCTCTCGACTTGTCTCTTTGGCAGTTAGAAGTTTGGAGTCAGAAAAGTCCCTGTGGATGACTCTGGCAAACTCTTCTCCTTGCTCCTGTCCTCCCTTTCTGTCTGAATCCCAATGGCTCTTTGAGTTGCTTTTTTTCCCCCATGTGGAATCCATCAAAGGAAGGCATTTTCAGCTTCTGGGAGCTTCTTTTGCAGGGTCAAACCATAAAAATAATTAGTAATCAGCGAGAGATGCTCCTGAACCTTAGGACGCTGTCCAGGCACAGAGGTCTCCAGGACTGAGTTGCAGATCTTGAGCCTTTATAGCCCCAGTGGATCAGATTAATAAAATGCGAGGTTGGAATGAGAGTTCAAAAGGTTGTTAAGAGAAAGAGAAAGAGAGAGAGATGCTTTTTTACTTAAAATATCTGGGTCTACCACAGTACATTCCACACAGGTAGGGGTTGGGGGTTAGAGGGGAGGGTAGTTGTCAGTGGACACTACAAGACCTCTAGGATGCTTTATCTGTGCCTCTAAGGTATACCTTTAAGCATTAGGGGTTTTGTTTTTTTGTTTCATTTGGGGGCCATACCTGGTGGTGCTAAAGACTTTCTCCTGGCTCCACACTCAGGCATCGCTCTTGGCAGGACTCAAGGGATCATATATGGGGCCAGGGATCGAATCCTGGTCAACCTCATGCAAGGCTAATGTCCTACCCATTGTACTATCCTCTAGCCCAGCATTAGGTTTTTCTTGTTTGTTTATGTTTGGGCCCCACCCAAAAGTACTCAGCGGCTAGTCCTGTCACTGCACTTGGGATGATATGGGGTGCTGGGGATTGAACCCAAGTTGGCCCTGTGCAAGGCAATCACCTTACCACTGTACCATCTCTCCCACCCCAAAGCATTATCTTTTTAAAAATTGGTGATGCAAAAGTAAGAGAATGCCAGCATGTCTATCAGAATTGGTGGCCTTGCCTCTAACCTTTACATCCTTCTTTCAGACCCCAGAGCATGAGGGCCGTTACTATGAGTGTGATGTCCTTCCTTTCATGGAAATTGGGTCTGTGGCCCATAAGTACTACCTTCTTAACATCCGGCTGCCTGTGAATGAGAAGAAGAAAATCAACGTTGGGATTGGCGAGATCAAGGATATCCGGTTGGTGGTAAGTGAATGGAATGGATCTAGGCCACCTGCGATGTGAGAGCAGAGGTCCAGCACCCTGGTTCCTAAGCAAGTGCATTAGAAATCTGTTTCCCTCTTGAAACCTGTGGTCAGACCTTGCTGGTATGATCTGAGAAACAGGAATTATGGTACCACCGCAACCCCTCGGTTCATCTATTTCTGGTGAGATTACAAAGATTGCAAATCACGCCAGCAAAGAGCCTTAAATTTGCATTGTACCAATCATGATTGTTGGATGGATAAACCCAACTCTACCACCTTGCATGCATAAATGTTCAAGGGAATAGTGGTTTTTTGGTTTTTCTTTTTCTGTTTTATTTTCTGAGCAAAGGAAAAAGAATAAAACATGAAAACAGGAGACACTTATTAAAGAACATAAACAGAAAACACATAAGAAAGATGTTTGACACTTGAACAACATAGGTATGAACTGAGAGGCCCCACTGATATGCAAGTTTTCTTATAAATCAATGATGTCAACTTAGAGTGTCAGTAAGTCGCTGTAATACTATAAATGTAATTTTGTTTCTTAATGGTATTTTCTTTCCCTAGCTTGGCTTATTGTAAAAGTTTATTTTATAATATATATGGCATGTAGAAAACTATTTGTGTTAATGCAATTAAAAAGGCTTTTGGTCACTAGTCGGGCGATGTTCAAAGTTACACACATTTTTTTTTTTTACTATATACATTGGTGACCTCATCTCCCACATTGTTCCAGGATCAACTGACTTATCAACTGTCAGAGATTAGAAGGCATCTATAGATACAGAAACACGTTAAAAAAATCATTTGTAAGATCTTGGAAGGAACTGCTATGGAGATTTGATTTCACATATGTTCTATACATCCATAACCCTTCACTTACAAAAGTGGGTTCCTCTTAAGGAATAAATTCCAGCAGTATCAAAAATAAAAAAAAAAATGGGAGGTCCTTACTCAAAAGTGTAGATCTTTAGCTTCCTGCTTTTAATTGATTTAATGCAACGTATACATATACACAAGCACTCTGCAATCCTATATAATACCACCAGTGTTTTACTTTGAATTTATCTTAACAGGTTTCTCGGTCTCACATGTGAGGGCATGTAGGCTATCATCCAATTTTCAATGAAAACATTACAGAAACATCTTTGATCATGTTCTTAGTCATTTCCTGGGCATAGAGTGGGTGCACTTTTTTTTAAAAAAATTATTTTCTTAGAGTTGTTCACAATAATGGATTACATTCAATATTTCAATACCAGTTTCACCACCATTACACCTTCCCACCACCATAATTTAGAATTTTTCCACCACCATTCGAGCCTACCCCACAGGGAGATGCTAGATAATTTATTTTGTATTGCTTGTTGTGAATAGCATGAGATGTCTTATGGCTGCATGCTCCTGGAATTCTAAAATTTTAAATAATTAGGGTCTGGAGAAATCTTTGCAGTAAGCTGCCCTCTTCCAAGATTCATTTGTAAGTCTCTGGATCATGGCCGTTTATGCACTTAAATGCCAGTTCGAGGACCCCGTAGGAGTAGGAAGAAAGGAAGGAACTGCCGTCCCCAATCCCTGGGAATCTGGAGTTTGCAGTCACTGGTCCCGCATACCTGTTTTTTTTTTTTTAATTGGGTTCTGGAAGTTTGTGGCCGCCGGGATTCCTAGGGTAGAGTGGATGCACTTTTGAACCCTTTGATTTCTGTACTGCCCGAGGAGAACTGAGGAACTCTGGAGAGCTCTGGATTTCACAGTGTAAGAGCTCTTGATCTGGAAAGATCAGCAGATCAGGTTGCTTTGGACCTCTCCCCAAAAGGTGCTACATAGTAGGAAAATGACATGGGGGTTGACTCACCTTCAAAATTCTGATTTCTGGGGCTGGAGCAGGTAGGTTGGTTGCCTTGCATGCAGCAGACCCAGGTTCAATTCCTGGCATCCCATAGGGTCCCCCCAGCACCACCAGGAGTAATTCCTGAGTGCAGAGACAGGAGTAACCACTGAGCATCACTTGGGTATGACCCAAAAAGCAAAAAAAAAAAAAAAAAAAAAAATTCTGATTTCTTCCTAGGGAATCCACCAAAACGGGGGCTTCACCAAAGTGTGGTTTGCCATGAAGACCTTCCTCACGCCCAGCATCTTCATCATCATGGTGTGGTACTGGAGGAGAATCAACATGATGTCCCGACCCCCGGTGCTTCTGGAAAAGTAAGAGCTGGTGGCAGGACACACTTCAGGAATGCCTTCCTGCTACTCCCATCCTGCCGGTCACTGTGACCCTCAGGTGGTCACTGTGTGGTGCGGGCTGGTTCAGCCTGCATCCCTTGGGCTCCTTTTCTCTCTCTGCTCACCAGGCAAATTGTTATAAAACTCTGAATTTCTCCAGCTCTCCTATTTCCAGCTCTTGCTCTCTTTGTTCTTCACCCCATGCTGATATTCAGAAAGTTCTCTTCTGTGTCAGCAGATGAAGTGCTTTTCTCCTTCTCCCGGAGGACAATGCTTCTGCAGAAATACCATTTCCTGGGGAGGTGGCTCAAAGGACTGGAGCATGTGCTCTGTATGTGGGAACCCCAGGTTTAGTCTCCTGGGAAATGCTGGGAGCCACCCCCAGCCCCAAGGTCACTGGCAAGCACTGGTATCCCCTAAGCACAACCGAAAAAAAAAAAAAAACCTGTGTTATTGTCTCTTCCTTCCCTGCGGGTCCTTCTAATTACTGGACAACATGTTTATCCCCTGTTAGCAAAACTTTTTCCACTTTCCCATGAGCCCACCCACCTCTTCTCTGCTCATTTTTGCAAAACTTAAAGAACTGTGCCTTTATAGCATATCTCCCCTCTCCAAGGCACCCTTCATGAAAACTACACGACCGTCTTCCATGGCCTACCTCCCAAATCTGGCTTGCCTGCTACCATCGTAGCAGTGGCCAAGGGTCCCCCATGTTCTGCAGTGGGGGTGTTTACACAGTTGGTTGCTGACACATGCCCCATTGATCACATGCACTTGTGGTGGTTGTCACACATGCATGTACCCAAGCATTATTGGGTGGTGGGTGGTGCTGGGAATAGAACCCACAACCTCTGCCTGCAGGGCAGGTGTTCTGCCACTGAGCCATCCTGGGCTCCCCATTGCAAGTTACCAGTGACCTCTTCCTTCCAAGCCAGCAGTCATTTCTTGGGCCTCACTTTTCTTCTCTGTTCTTATGTTTTGTTTGGGGGCCATACCCAGCAGTGCTCAAGGATTACTCCTGGCTCTGTGCTCAGGGATCACACCTGGAGGGCTAAGAGGACTATCTGGGTTGCTGGGAATGAAACCTGAGTAGGCCACATGCAAGGCATGTGCCCTAGATGCTATATTTTTGTTGTTGTTTTTAATTTATTTTTATTTTATTCTAATGAATCACTGTGAGATACAGTTACAGACTTACAAGCTTGCACGATTACGTTTCGGTCATACAATGTTCAAGTACCTATTCCTCCACCAGTGCCCATTTTTCACCACCAATGTTTCCAGTATCTTTCCTGCCACCCCCACCTCTTCTTCCCTCCCCACCCCCCACCCCTGCCTCTGTGGCAGGCACATTCCCTCTTACTCTCTCTGTCTCCTTGGTGTTATGGTTTGCAATACAGGTACTAAGCGGCCATTATGTTTGGCCCATAGTCTACATTCAGCACACTTCTCCCATCCCGAGCGAGCCTTCCAACTGTCATATACTTAACTGTCCCTTCTCTATCCCAGCTGCCTTTTCCTCCAGCACATGAGATCGGCTTCCAAGTCGTGTAGCAATCCTCCTGGACCTTATCTCTACTATCCTTAGGTATTAGTCTCCTATTATGTTACTTTATTTTCCACAAATGAGTGCAGTGATTCTATGTCTGTTCCTTTCTTTCTGACTCATTTCACTTAGCATGATACTCTATGTCTATCTACTTGTATGCAAATTTTATGATTCCATCTTTTCTACCAGCTGTAGATGCTATATTGTTGCTCTGGGCCCATCAGATCTCACTTTTCTTGCCTCATCTCCTGCACTGGACACAGTTGGCCACTCCCTTTTCTTCCACAGAGTGTCCCTCACTTGTCCTGAGAACCATCTTCCTTTGCTGGCCTCCACCGTCCATTTTTTTTTCTTTTAGCTTTTTGGGTCACACCTGGTGATGCTCAGGAGTTACTCCTGGCTCTGCACTCAGGGATTACTCCTTGTAGTGCTCAGGAGACCATATAGGGACGCCAGGGATTGAACTGGGTCAGCCACATGCAAGGCAAATGCTCTGCCCACTGTACTATCACTCCGGCCCTGCTTTCTAACCTCTTAAGTTTTCAGTCCAAGGCTCATCTTTTTAGTCTTTTCTTCTTTTTCTTCTTTCTTTCTTTCTTTCTTTCTTTCTTTCTTCCTTTCTTTTTTTTTTGTTCAGGGTGTTATGGATGCAATTGTTCCCAAACTGTTCAGGGTACTTGAGGGGTCACATGTGGCTATTAGGTAGGAGGTGGGAGGATTCTATGTGAGGACCCAAAGATATAGTGCCTCTTGAGCCATGTTGTACCAGGGACCTCCAGGAAATGCTGGGGTGCAGAAGGGGAGCCTCAGGGCTGCACACCAAGGAGAGACCATGTACCATCTGGAATCGATAGAACAGGGCACACGTCTAGCTCCAACCACACTAACCAGTTTCCTGACCCTGGAGACTTTCTCTTTATTTCTCTTTGTTTCGACATTTATTTCCTGGTTGAATCTATCTGGTCTCATGGACTAAAACTCATCTGAGTCTGATGACTCTTAATTTGTATCCTTAACCTCAGTCTCTCCCAAAACTCGAGCCAAATATCCCAGTGTTTCATTGAAGTGCCTGAAAATGGAATGTGCAAAAAATGATGCTTGCCTTTTTCCCACTTTCAGACCTTTTTTAGTTGTGTGGGAGCCACAATCAGCCACGCATGAGGGGGAAAATGGTGTGAGAGGAAGAATTGAGCCAAGGGCCTCACACTACCTTTGGAGTCACATTCGTTTGCTCCCCCTTTTATGTGCTTCTCTCCACGGCCTCCTTATTTTAGGAAACTGCAGTTCCATCCCTTGAGCTGCTCAGACTGGACATATGGGGTCTTCCTTCATACCCCTCTCCCAGTCACCAGGAATTCTGATCCAACCACCCTCATCTAACACACACACACACATACCCTTTTTTTAATTGAATCACCGTGAGATGCAGTTACAAAGCCTTCATGTTTGGGTTTCCATCACACAATGATCGAACACCCATCCTTCCACCAATGTACATTTTCCACCAATGTAATGTCCCCAGTATCCCTCCCACCAGCCCTATCCTAACCCTCCCCCTGCCTCTGTGGCAGACAATTTCCTTCTTAATTTCTCTATGCTTTTGGACCTTATGGTTTGCAATATAGATAACAAGAGGCCATCATGTTTGGTCCTTTATCTACTTTCAGCACACATCTCCCATCCTGAGTGATCCCTCCAACCATCATTGACTTAGTGATCCCTTCTCTATCCCTGCTGCCTTTTCCCCCACCCAGCTGATGAGGCAGGCTTCCAATCGTGGAGCAATCTTCCTGGCCCTTGTCTCTACTGTCCTTGGGTGTTAGTCACATATTTTGTTATTTTACATTATACAAATGAGTAATGCACCCTTTAATCTAAGACAGGACCATCTGTTCCTCCTTACTGCAGATAGCCTCTCTCAGACCTCCAGGCTTCTGGTTTCCTTCCTACAAGCCATCCACCTGCAGTTCTACTTTGAAGTGGAAGTCAGATAGATCACACCACTCCTGCTTAAACTTCTGTCTGGCCTTTCATCTCCATCTTCTTTGTCAGGCCCTCACCTTGCTTCTGGACCTTGACCACCCCTGATTGTTTTGTTTAGTTTTGTTTGGGGGCCACACCCAGGAGTGCTCAGGGCTTATTCCTGCTCTGCGTTCAGGGGTTACTCCTGGTGGGTCTCGGGGGACCATATGGGGTGCTAGGGATTGAACCTGGGTCGGTCTCATGCAAGGCCCCATCCTCTGTACTGTCCCTCTGGCCCCTGATTTTATTTCTTTTTGGTTCCATCACCTGACTTCAAGCCACAGTTCTTTTAACCTCACCCCATCCTTGACTCCCACCCACCCTTCCTTTAGGTTCACCCACCAGCTCTCTCCCCCCACCTCATTAACTCTTAACTACCACTCTCCTAGTTCCCCATTTCTCCCCCAACTGCACCTACCACTCACTGACCTAATCCCAGCTTCCCCAGTGCTACCCTCTGCTGTCATGCAACCAACCACACCCTTAAGATGCTAAATTGGCCCACCATGCTTCATCCCAGTGACTTTCCTCTTGAAGCCACAACCATTTGTGCTCATGGCTTACTCCTCACCCTATGCTCACGGATCACCCCTGTGGTGTTTAAGGACAGTATGGGGTGCCAGGGATTGAACCTGGATTAGCCACATGCAAAGCCAGTGTCCTACCCACTGTAATATCATTCCAACCATACACTGGTTCTCTAGTCCCAGGTATCTCTGCATTTGATTCTTCATGTCTTTCAGGCTCTTTCAAGCATCTTATAGACTTCCCCATCAAAATCCATTCTCTTGCCTGCGTTTATGAACTTCACTTCCTGAAGGCTGCAGGCTTCTCTGTCTTCGTCCATTCTCTTCCCTCTGCTTCCAGTGCCCTTCCAGCTCCCTGACTGTGACTCACACCTTGGTTTGGTTCCCCTGTGTCATTGTTGGACATTTGGCTCAAAACTTGTGCACACGCCATCAGTTTGCTTCTACCATTTGATCTCTTTCTTCCTGCTGCTTCTTCTGGCTCAGCCACATCAACCACAGCCCATACATTTCACTGAGGGAAAGAATCGATCCTGTTCATTTAGGTGCCGGATTTTTGACACATGATCTATGGTTCATAACTCATACATCAGTGCAGGAGAGGTAGCACAGTAAGTAAGGTGCTTGCCTGGCAAACTCCAATCTCTGGTACTCGATGTGGTCCTCTGAGCACCACCAGGAGTGGTCCCTGAACACAGAGCGAGGAGTAAGCCCGAAGCACAGCCAGGTGCGGCCCTCCCCCAAATCCCAAGCAAATGGAATAGACTGTACATAGCACATGGCTGTGAGTGGAAATATGAGCAAATCTGTGACAAATGGATAATTTGACAGGGGCTGGGAAGATAGCTCAGAGGATAGTGCAAATGTTTTCTCTGCAGGAACACTGGGTTTGGTCCCCGGAACTGCACAATCCTCTCAGTAACACATCAGAAGGGGGTCCCTAAGCACAGTCAGGTGTGGCCCCAAAATAAAAACAAAAGAACAGAAACAAATGAAAATTTTGATAGAGACAGTAATGAATAGTGAGATGGGGAAAAGCATTTTTAAAACGAAATTAGCAGAGCTGAAGAGATAGTACAGTGGGTAAGGTATTTGTCTTGCACAAAGCCAACCAGGGTTCAATCCGTGGCATCCCATCTGATCCCCCGAGCAGGCAGGAGTAACCCCTGAGCATCTCGCGAGATGTAGCCCTCAAACAAAAACCAACAAACAAAAAGAAGCAACCAAAAGAACGAGTGAGATTGGTATGGTTAAGAGTCGTTTGCAGGGCTGGCCAATAGCACAGCGGGTGGGGCATTTGCCTTGCACGCGGATGACCCGGGTTCGGTTCCCAGCATCCCATATGGTCCCCCGAGCACCGCCAGGAGTAATTCCTGAGAGCATGAACCAGGAGTAACTCCTGTGCATCACCGGGTGTGACCCAAAAAGCTTAAAAAAAAAAAAGAAAAGAAAAAGAAAAAGTCATTTGCTATGGGAACAAACAGACTTAATGTAATTCATAGTTGCTGTGCATATTGTAATAATGATGAGCATGAATAGAATAGGAACTATGACCAAAGGACAAGTGACAAAGAAGAAGGGACAGTTAGAGTCAATGAGATTTGCTTAGGGAGGCAAGAAGGACACACTATAGGGAGGCATTCTCCTGAGATTCAGAGCTGATGACGATCATTATCTAGAGAGGTCAGGTCACAACCCATGTGGTGTCCGTGAAACAAGTTCCCTCACAACTTTGTGTAGACATGTACCATGAAACTAAGCAACAAACCTCTAGCTTCAGGACATCTTCCCATGCCCACCCTCATCCCACCAAATAGCATCTCCCTTTCCCCCTTGTAAAGACCCTCTCTCTTCCCTAGTCCTGTGTCCGAGCTTTGGAAACCTGCCCCCTCCCCTCCCCAGAGGAATAATGTGGTTTTTCTGATATCTCCCGACTGCAGAGTCATCTTTGCCCTGGGGATTTCCATGACCTTCATCAACATCCCCGTGGAGTGGTTCTCCATCGGCTTCGACTGGACCTGGATGCTCTTATTTGGGGACATCCGACAGGGCATCTTCTACGCCATGCTGCTCTCCTTCTGGATCATCTTCTGTGGCGAGCACATGATGGTGAGAGACTCAGGGAAGGCACAGGGGTGAGGGCAGAGCCCAAAAAGGTGGAGGGTGGGGGACAGAAACACAGAGCCCCCGGGTTAACGCCTCGATTCATGACTATTGCATCACTAACTGGGAGTGTGTTCTTAGGTCCAAAGCTTCACCATTCTGAATCTCAGCAACAAAACGGAAGGGAAGGCTTCAGGGCCATAGAAGGTTTCTGTGGGCTTCAAAGGAGACACTGCACCCACTTTGCAGACAGTTAATGCACAGTTTAGTGATGATCATCATTTCTGACTTGAGCTGGTCTCCAGGTCTCAGTGCCCACCACATGCCCCTACCCTCTCAAGGGTCTGAGGGTCTGCTTCTTCCAGCTGGCCATCTGTTCAGATGGCCTACAAACCCCCCATGTACCCTGAAATACTAATCCATCCCGGATTCCTGAGTTTGCATGGACACCAAACCGTATTTCAAGACAGGATTAAGGACATGATGGATAGAAATAAATCTATGGCTGCCATCTCTCAGTAGCCCAGAGGATACACTGACTGGAGTCGGGGCCTTCGGCTAAGACCTGCATTTCCTGGGAGAGTGAATAGTTCTTAAATTCAACCATGGTTTGATCATTGCAACCCTCCAGAGGAGTGGGGAGAGGAGTAATGCTCTTGTTTGTTTGCTGCCTTGGCATGAGGGCAGTTCCGGCAGAGAAGATCTGCCCTGGGCAGCAGGACTGGGAGTCAAGGGCATCAGGTGCCAGCATCATCTCACAGGCAGCTGGGGTGGATTCTCCAGAGCAGTCAGTACCCCTAGGAGCCAGCCTGGTCCTGAGATCTCTGTCTCTTACCTTTCCCTGTTTTCTCAGCCCTTTATATCTCTGTCTCTTCGTATGTTTATCAAAAGGCCTCATTCTAGCCTTTTGATATTTGGAGATGAAAAGAACACAGCTTCAATGCCCTAACCAGAAGAAACCTCTTACACTTCATATTTTATTCAATTTTTAATAGGACCCACACTAGAGGTGTGTGTGTGTGGTGGTGGTGGGGGGGGGGGCACCAGAGTCTCACCAGGCAGCATTAGCAAGTGGCCATGTGGTACCAGGGACGGAACACAGGTTACTGGTCTCAGGTTCAGGCTGAGAATGTGCTCTACCCCCAAGACATATTTTGTTTGTTTGTTGTTGGTTGAGAGATCACATTTTGTAAGGGATCATTCCTGGCAATGCTTGGGGGAACCTATGTGGTAGTGAGGATTGAACAAGGATCAGCCACTTGCTAGGCAAACAAGTTTTTTTGTTTTTGTTTTGTTTGGGGTGTCAGGTTGTGCTAACCAGGTTGTGCTCAGGGCTTCTTCTTCTTTTTTTTTTCTTTCTTTTTTGCCTTTTTGGGTCACATCTGGCAATGCTCAGGGGTTACTCCTGGCTCTGCACTCAGGAATTACTCCTAGCAGTGCTTAGGGGACCATGTGGGATGCAGGGGATTGAACTGGGTCAGCTGTGTGCGAGGCAAATGCCCTCCCCTCTATACTATTTCTATAGCCCCTCAGGGCTTGCTCTTCACTCATTGCTCAATGATCACTCCTGACTGTCTGAAAGGGTTCATAGGGGGTGTCAGGGATCACATCAAGCTGCCTCCACGTAAAGCAAGTGCCTTCACCTTTACTATCTCTCCACCCCTTCCCCCAACCCCTGAAATATTTTAGTGCCATAGAATCTTTATTTTGCTTTCTGGGGACCACTGCATCTTTACAGACACAAGTTCACAGAGGAATTTAATACCGAGTGGGTTATATTATAGGCCAAAATTTTGCCTGCCTAGGGTGCAAGATCTTTCTTTGTGTTTCCCGTGGGCTTGTTGCTGTGATAGTCCTCAGGGATGAACTGGCACAAGTGAGTTCCTTCGGCATCAAGATTTTCTTCTCATCATTGTGTGCCTGGTCTGGAGCTCAGTGCAATATTGGCATATAGCGGGGCCAGTAAGATTGTTTGCATGGACTAATATCTCTTCTCTCTCATTTCCCAATTTGGCCGCCTACAGGATCAGCATGAACGGAACCACATTTCAGGGTACTGGAAGCAAGTGGGACCAATAGCCGTTGGCTCTTTCTGCCTCTTCATATTTGACATGTGTGAGAGGTGAGCAGGGTCACCTGGGCCTCAGGTGGGAATGTACAAGCTATTCTAAAGGACAAGAGTGGTCAAGAAACTCGGGCAGAAAGCATGGCAATGGGTAGACTCGCCAAAACCGAAGCTCTTCATTGCTGTCAAACATCAGAACTGAATGCATTCTTCCATTTCTCTTTAGGCTTTCTGCAACTATTTGGTTTTTTCTTTTTGTTTTGATTTGATTGTTTTGGGAGCCACACACAGTGGTGCTCAGAGGTTACTCTGGGCTCTGCACTCAGGAATCATTCCTGGCAGCGCCTGGGGGACCATATGGGGTTCTGGGGATCGAGCCCAGTTAAGCACCCGCAAGGCTAAGGCACCCTACCCGCTGTACTCTCTCTCTAGCCCCTCAGTGCCTTTTCTTAGACTAGATACCACCCTACTCCTCTGTATAAGCAGCGCAGAACAGGTTCAGAAGTTCTCCTTTGTACTGATTGGGTCTTGCCTCCCCTTCTCCTTTCTCTCTGCAGAGGAGTACAGCTCACGAATCCTTTCTACAGTATCTGGACTACAGATGTTGGAACAGAGCTGGCAGTATCCTTCCTTGATGCGTTCAGAGTTTTATTTCTTCCCACAGCTGCTCCCTCCCTGAGATCATTTTTCTAAGCCCTGCTTATGTTCTCCATATGGGCTCCCCCCCAAGCGTTGCCCCCCCGAACTCATCATGAAGGCACACATGGGAAGAATGAAATCTTACTTGCAAGCTTGGGTGAGAGGGGGCACAAGGATGAGGAGGTGCTCATGGTCTTGGGGGGGGGTCAGAGTTGCCTGGCTCTCACAGCCCAGGGGCTTATTGACTTACGATTCCCTGGAGCCACGGCATCTCACTCAGGTTTTGGTGTCCCGAAGGAGAGCCTGTTTCTCAGACTTCTATGGCCTCTGATGTGACCTTGGGGTGCTACCTCCGAACTCCTTCATTTCAAGACCCACGTGGCAAGAAGGCTAAGGGGTTAGCTCCAGAAGAGTCACCCAGTCTTGTGGTCAGTGGTCACTGGTGCTGGGTCCTCCAGCTACAACTATAGTCTTAGCTTATCCCTTTTAGGGTGCTGCATATTTCAATATTTCAATTTTTTGTCTACCTGAATTAATTGGTTAAATGCTTCCTGCAAGGAAAGAAAACCAGTCCTGGAGCAGGGGGCAAGGCTTGCATTGTGCTCTTATTTTTTTCTTTGGCAGCAGGACTTGGTTTATTTTTGTTTGGGGACCACACCCAGCAGTGTTCAGGACTTACTTCTGGTTCTGTGTTCAGCAGTCACACCTTGCAGATCTCAGGGGACCATATGGGGTGCTGAGGATCGAACTCAGGTGGGCTGTGTAAAACAGGTGCCCTCCCTGCTATACTCTCCCTCCAGCCCTTGAGTTGTATTTCGTATTGGTTCATGTCTTGTCATGGGATGATAAACGTGCTTTGTCCAGCGTTGGTGTCTACACTACTTAGTACCACAAGGACTGAGTACACTCACTTAACAGCAGCCTCTTCATTTGTAAGAGAGAGCAGTGACCCCCCTTCTCTTCCCACCCCCAACATGTCCAACACCAATGTACTAGCTGCACACCACTGGGAACTACTTAGAATGTTTAATCTACTTGACCTCCTTTTCATTCTTTAGAGATGATGGAACTGTCAGGAGACCAACAAAACCTCAGTTCCTACAGCCAATAGTCCGTATTTCCAGACTGTGCTATTGAGTTTGGGAGCAAAGAAGAAACTGCACTAAAGATTGCTTACTGAGACGTGTAGTCACACCCAGCTGCATTCAGGGCTTACTCCTGGTTTGGTGCTCAGAGATCACTCCTGGTTGTGCTCAGGGGACCATACATAGTGCCAGAGATCGAAGCAAGGTAGTCCATGTGGACAGCAAGTGCCTTAGTTCTGGCTCTATCTCTCCAGCCTGGAAATGCCCATTTTCACAATTCTATTTCCCTGAAAATTGCTTGAGTTTTGTGAGACAGAATATGATTGGCAGAGTTGTGGGGAGGGGAGTGCTCTGTATTTGATGAGCCTGCAGTTTCCTTCACTGGACGTCTCCAGATGGCCTTTATCATCGTGGCTGGGATCTGCCTCTGCCTCTACTTCCTGTTCCTGTGCTTCATGGTATTCCAGGTGTTTCGGAACATCAGCGGGAAGCAATCCAGCCTGCCTGCCATGAGCAAAGTCCGACGGCTGCACTATGAGGTGACATCAGTAGGCTCATGAAGGAAGGTCTTGGTGTCCGCATAAACACACACACACACACACACACACACACACACACACACACATGCACAGTGATTGGAAGACTTCATCTGCAAGCATACATTTAGTCTCAGGCAGTATTAGGCTCCCTGGTCAAAGGTAAAGGTAAAGGTAAAGGCCCTCCCGTTGATCGTCGATTTGCTCGAGCGGGCCCAGTAACGTCTCCATTGGAGACTTTGTTGTTACTGTGTCTGGCATATCGAATACTCTCGGTAGCTTGCCGGGCTTTCCGAGAGGGGCGGAGGAATCGAACTCGGGTCGGCCATGTTAGCTGCTTGTAAGGCGAACGCCCTACCGCTGTGCTATCGCTCCATGGTCAAAATAATAGGCAAACCCTACTCTGAGAACCACATCTCTCTCTCTCTCTCTCTCTCTCTCTCTCTCTCTCTCTCTCTCTCTCTCTGTCCTTGGTGTTTTCTGTGCTTTGTGGCAGGCAAACTAGAAGTAACACCAGAACAGTGGTGGAAACTCTTAGAGGCTCTGGTCTTGCTAGAGGAGACGTAAATTTGTACTCCACCAGAATGAACCTAAACATAATTTTAACAATGGTGTTTTTTTAATTTATTTGTTTGTTTGTTCTTGGATCACACCAGGTGATGCTCAGGGTTTATTTCTGGCTCTGTACTTGGAGATCACTCCTGCTGGGCTTGGGGGACCAAATGGGATGCCGGAGATTGAATCTTGCTCAGCCAGGTGCAAGGCAAACACCTTGCCCCCCTGTACAATCGCTCTAGCCCAGCCTGTAACTGTGTTACTTAAACGAGAGAGAGCGAGAGAGAGAGAGAGAGAGAGAGAGAGATAGAGAGAGAGAGAATTTATCAAAATATAAATAATGGGGAAAACATAAGTTCTACTAGGACCATAAATAAATAAATAATTTGAGCTCCAGGAGAAGCAAACCTGTTTGGCTGGTTATTCAACTTTGAGTTGGAATGTGGGTGCTTCAATGGGAGATTCACTGAGCTAGAAATAGGATTTGGCTTGAGTTCCCTCTTGCAAATTAACCTGAAGACTAAGGTTTAGCCCTGCTGATCTACTTTCCAGATGCCAGTGTGCCGTATTTCCCCTAAAATAGACAACAGATACTCAGGGAGAGCCCAGAAATCATTTCTACCTTTAGATTTGGTGCCACATTCAGGAGAAACATGAAACATTCTCATTTCTCTTATCCAGACACAGAAATGTAGAACCACCAGACTTTTATATGCAGTGGCACTCACCAGCTAAAATGCAGATTCCTAAAAATTCTGCTCTCAGGAAGACCCACGTCCTTCCTAAAACTAGCCTGTCTCCAAGGCTGGAGTGACACATGAAAAAATTCCACCAGATCCACTTCACGTTGATTAACATGCACATTTATTTTTGTTCGCTGGAGCAGAATTTTATTACAACCACAGAAAACTTGGATTTGGTCACTTTGAACCCTTGCAGAGAAGCATAACCAGCTTAGCAGGGAAATTAGCAGCATCATGACGTGCTGTGAATAAAATGTCCCAGGCCCTGCATCACTGTTTCATGAGAGATAAGCGCATAGGAAATATGTGGCCTGAGAAATATTTTTTCAGTCACATCCACCTCTGCAGGAGAAATGCTACTAAATGAAATTATGTTCCCGTCACTCGGGGCTTTGGTTTGATAGATTGCTTTAAAATGAGCTTTTTATAGAGTTGGGGATGGCGGGGAGAATTGGCGGGACCTGGTGGAATATTAAACTCTTTCTCTTTCCTAATAGGGGCTGATTTTCAGGTTCAAGTTCCTCATGCTTATCACCTTAGCCTGCGCTGCCATGACAGTGATCTTCTTCATCGTTAGTCAGGTATGTGCGGCCAGAAATCAAGGTGAGGATGTCCTTGGACCCAGGTGCCTTTACTCTACACAGACAATCCTAGATTGCTGCCAAGAAAAGGGGTGGCGGGGAGCATGGATTATACAGTTGGACAACTGACGGTGCTAGATTTTTTCCCCCCACACCTGGCATTGCTCCGATGCTTCTCTCAGTACCGCCCGGGATAGAACCAGGCTCCCTCCTGCAAAGCTAGCACTCTAGGTCTATCTCCCCAGTAAAGTCATATTTTTTTAAGACATTTCTACTCTAGGATTTGTTATCACCCAACCAGAGGTAGATTGGATTTTTTCCCCTTACAGGACAGCCTTGTAGAAAGAAAAAGTTGCTAAATTAAATGAAAAGCTCGCAGCCAGATTGAAGAGGGTTGGTTTCATTTACTTAAGAGAATCAACTTTTTTTGTCCAACATCAGAACACCAGCAAGCATGAATGTTATTTGATTCTTATCTAGCATTAACAGAGATCCCTCACCATGCCCGTTAGTCATTCTTTATAATATTTATATTGTTTTGGTTTGGGTTTCCTTCCTTCCTTCCTTCCTTCCTTCCTTCTTTCCTTCCTTCCTTCCTTCCTTCCGTTCTTCCTTCCCCCTCCTTCCTTTCTTCCATCTTTATTTCTTTTCTTCCTTCCTTCTTCCCTCCCTCCCTCTCCCTCTCCTCCCTTTTCCTCTTTGTCTTCCTCCCTCCCTCTCCCTCTCTCTTCCTCCCTTTGTCTCCCTCCCTCCCTCCCTCTCTTTCTCTTTCTTTCTTTCTTTCTTTCTTTCTTTCTTTCTTTCTTTCTTTCTTTCTCTCTCTCTCTCTCTCTCTCTTTCTTTCTTTCTTTCTTTCTTTCTTTCTTTCTTTCTTTCTTTCTTTCTTTCTTTCCTGGCAGGGTGGAGGTGGTTGGTACTTATCAGCTATGCCCAGCACTTACTCCTGGCTCTGTGCTCAAGGATCACTCCTGGAGGGATTAGGGGACTATACATGGTTCTAGAGATTGAACCTGGGTAAATTGCCTTCAAGGCAGATGACTTACCCACTGTACTATCTCTCTGGCCACCACAGTACTTTTGTGGCCAGTGAAACATAAAATGTGTTTCCAAAACCTGCAAATAGAACCTTGTGTTTTCAAAGCTATTTTCCAAAATTAAAACTTTACTTACCTGAAGATCTGAATAGTAAAAATGAGAATACTTGGAAAATGTTGGTATCTAGTAAAGTGGATGCTTCTCGTCACTGTGTTTGTTTCTACCATTCAGTTGAGCTTTACAAAACTCTTATCGAGAAGTAGTCTGTCAATTTATCCCAGTTTTCAAATAGGAAATCAAAGGGTCTTTGAGACATTTTCCTCTGTGCTGTGTTCCATTGGATGGGACTCTTATCTGGGTGGTCTATTACCAGTCTCGGGGTTGATTTTCTTATCTGCAACATGGCTGGAGCCACGAGTCCACGATGGAGAAGGTGGCTGTGCGAGTCCCATGAAGGACTGCTTACAAAGTGGTTTGCAGAGTGCCTGGCACATGGTGACTGGACATGAATAGTTTGTGCTCTTTGAATTGCAAACGGGAGAAAGCTGTGCCAAAGGACACAGTGAGTTATGGACCAGAACTTAGGCCTTTTGATTCCTGCCAGCTGCTCTGTCATCCCTATATTTGGCCAGATTATAGATTGTCAGTATCTAGAGCTTCAGGACAACACCAGCTCTGTTTGACAAGCAGACTTCCTCCTGCTATAAGACTCCGAAGCTTTCTTTTTGCACCATGGACATTCTAGGGCCTTTGGATAGAGGTGATACATCTTTTCTTGGGACATATTTAAATGACTATTTAAGGAAAATGCTTTGGATTTCAAAGGCAATCATATAGATGGATGCCATGTATTTCCCATTATACATAGGACACATATTATAGATAGGTCCATAACTAAATGATGGTGAAACATGATTTTTTTTTCCAAATCATCATGAGATAAACAATTACCGTGCTTTTATTGGGTGTCAGTCCAACACTTATCCCTTCACTAGTGTCCCCAATTTCCCACCACCAATGTCCCCAGTTTCTCTCCTTCCACACTCCCCAGTCTGCCTCTACTGAAGAAACTTTTATTCTCTCTCCCCTCTCTCCCTCTCTTTCTTCCCCCACCGCCCCCGTCATTATAGTTTGTGATACAGGTACTATAGGCTTATCATGTATATTCCTTTATGTACTTTTTAGCACTCAATTCTTGTCCAGAGTGATCATTTCTGTCATTGTCATAGTAGTCCCTTCTGTATCCTAATTGCTCTCTTTCTCTCCCTCCCCCGACTTGTGACAAGCTTCCAACCATGGGCAGTTCTCCTGTCCCTCATTTCTATTGTCCGTAGGTAATAGTCTCATACTTGTTTTTTATATCCCACAAATAAGTGCAATCATTCTATATCTATCCCTCTCCTTATGACTCATTTCACTCAGTGTGATACTCTCCATGTCCATCCACTGATAAGCCAATTTCATGACTTCTTTTTTTCCTAACAACTGCGTAGTATTCCACTGTGTAGATATACCATAGTTCGTTTATCCAGTTGTCTATTCTTGGGCACTCAGGTTGTTTCCAGATTCTGGCTTTTGTGAATAGTGGTATAAAAAAACCTGATTTCTATTTCAGACAAAGTGGCAGACAATACTAATGTGTTTTCTACTGAGATTTCTTTTCTACACTCATAACTTAAAGAAATGCATCATTTTCAACGTGGAAACTAGTGAAAATAATTTCTTCCTCCTGCAGTTCTTAGAGAGCTTGAGTTCCACCCAAGAATGCCCAATGGTGCCTTCAACCCCCTTTAGAAGCTCTAGAGCTCTATTGACCAAGACCTGCTCCTGGGCATGTTAGTGCTGCTGCTGCTGCTGCTAAAGGCTGCAGTGAATGTGGAAAATTAAAACAAATATGCACGTCCATCTTCCTGGTTCTACTTGCCACCTCTGCTTTGCCCTACAACAGCACTATGTTTGTATCGGACTGTTTATGCATAAAACCTTGGAAACTTCACTCTTCCCTCCAAACACAGTAAAAAACAATCTCAAATTCTGGATGCGTTTTGTGTCCAGCCAGAGGAGGCTCCAACAAGAGCGTCTGAAGCTCGACTTCTTCCCAGGCTGATTCCTCTCGTGACCAAAACACTTTTCTTTCTTCCGGAATGTAACGTGGCTTTCAATCTCGCCAGTTCTGCAAGGCAGCACAGCTTGGAGATTCCATGACAGGGGAAGGTGGACTGAGGGCTGAAAGGCAGTAACCAAGCTGTGGTTCCTGGCAGGAAAAGAGTCAGAACGCATATGGTGCTTGGCCCTTGTACCGCCTTGGAAAGCTGTAAACAGTGTTCCATATCTTGGACCAGAGAGATTAGTACGGGGAATAAGGTGTTTGCCTTGCTTGCAGTGAATGCTGTTTAAACCCCAGCACTGCCTATGGTCTCCTGAGCACTGTCGGGAGTGATCCTGGAGCACAGAGCCAGGAATAGACCTGGAGACTTTGGGGTGTTCCTTTCCCGCCACACACACACCCCAAAAGCCAAGATAAATAAATAAATTGCAGCATCTCCCACATTCCATCCCGTGTCCTCTCCTACCCTTGGTGAAGGTCCAAGGCCCTTGAAGTTGAGACCAACCCTTCCGGCTGCTCTTGAAGGCAGACTTTCCTCCCTCATGTTTAATGAATGTGCCTTCTTAAATGCAAAGGAAGCCAGCCTTCCAAGGGGCACAGTTTGTGGCTGTGTTTATGAGAAAGAAGATTAATATTCCACTGGCCCAGCCTCTTCGAATACAGCTCCAGCCTGTGGCTGACTTTTTATATCTGCTGCAGCAGCTGGCCCAAGTGGATTTCAACTCCAAGGGGATAAGCAATGAGGTCTTTTGGATTCCTTTAGCTCCTCACATTCCTCCTGCTGGGTTATTTTCTTAAAAAGGTTTATTTATAGCTATCTAAGACGTTTTCAGGCCTAACTCTCACTGTCCCAGGTACTGTATTAATAGAGTCGTCAGAAGATTTATTTATTTTTTTTTAATGTCATTTTGGAATGTCTCCGCAATGAGCTCATCAGAAAGCAAACCTATTGGGTAACTTTTTGAAATAGATCCCAGCCTTAGGTAAAAGGAATGTATTAAAACTCCCATTATACTCGTCGGCTTGCTGGGAGAGCTTGCATTTAAGCCCCATGAAATATAATGCAAGGGGATCTCGCCAGGATATTGAAGCGCTGAAGCCAGGAATGAAAGGCGGGTGGGAAGCTGTGGAATGCAGTGACCTTGAGGCTTTGTAACTCGGTCCTGAGGTGCAGTCCTTTAATGCCTGCTGTTTTAATGGCCTCGGTCATAGCAACCGAGAGATGGTACATCTCGGTCTGGTATTTCAGCCCCTTCCCCCCAGGAAAAGGAAGATGTATCCTTTTAGAGATAGGTGTAGGGGACAGAAGCTAAAAGCAAGGGAGCAGTTGTCTGACCTTTATAGAGGGGACCTCCAGATACTTGGCTTCTGGGTCAACCCGTAGGCCACAGGCTCCCAGAGAGCTTGATCCCAAGTGTTTTTATTTTATTGTGGTGTGGTGTGGTGTGGTGTGGTGTGGTGTGCGTGAGTGTGTATGTGTGTGTGTGTGTGGGGGGGGGGGGTGATCACTTCATTCCATTCCTTCCAGAGGGAAATGTGAGCCTGTGTCTGAGATCTGGAAGTCTTGTTAAGTGGAATGTTGGTTGTCAAGACTACTGGGTGTAAAAGGATTTGACCTTCAATTGGCTGCAGAGGTATAATTGGGTGGTTTCACACAAAAGTAAATTGTTCAAATGTGAAATCAAGAAAAAAACAGGGAGTTTCAGAAATGAGACTTGGGCAAAAGAGAGATGACTTTTTTTTCTTCTGCCTGGGGTGGGATTACCTGATTTTTCTCTCTAAACATCAAAGGAGGTGACTGTCCCATCTCTCTGTGAATTAGACTGTGAGTGTACAAGTGTGTTCTGTTGAGGCCACTTAATGTGAGGGATATTTGGTGGGACTCTGCTTAGAGCCCAGGATGTCTCAGGCATGAATAATTGAGCAAGGGGCAGGAAACAAAACCAAGTCTCCAAACACTAGCATGACACTGTGTACACGGTTCATTTATGCAAATGCCACACTTTGTTCTCAGCAGGAAGTCAGACATCAAGAGATTAGGGATTCAACAGTGTGAGGAATTCGGCCACTCTATTCTAAGCAGTGAGCCAGTGTCTCAGCAAACCTGAGATGGGCACAGATCTGTCTTCTCAGTCTTAGATTCTCTGTGCCGCTCTGAGCCGTGGTTCTACTGTAAAATGATGTATAACGTGCAGAGTTGATTTCTCAGATGCCGTTTATTACCATGAGTGGGATAGAGGGCATTTATATGGCACAATGCCAATTTGAATACATGAAACTAGGTGTGTGTACTGTGTAAATCATTTACGTTATGGACAGTTAAGTAAATTTTCAAAGGAAATTCCACTACTCCCAAATCATTGCCACATATGCTAATTTCAGATACTGGCCCTTTATGCTGATATTGGATCTTTTTATTGTATAATGCTAAGAACAGCTTTTTTCTGGGTGAGCAGTCTTGCCTTTCTCTGTCATTTACCTACATCTTAAGTGCAAATAATTATCTACTGACTTCATTTGGTTTTTGAGACTGCATATTATCTCTCACGTAAATTTCCTAGTCTGGTGGCTTGTACACCATTGGAGTTGAACAAATATTAACCATCCTTATCATTGTTATGCTTACAAAAGAATCTAACTTTATAATATCTGTCTATACTAACTTATTCTAAGTGTTGGTGAAGGAAAACATTAGAGTACAATATTTAAACAGAATATCAATAATTAACCCATTACCTCCCCCTTTCAAGTAAAATTATTATGACCTACCATGGCCCATCATACTAGTAAAAGTAAAGTAAAGGCCCTCCTGTTGATCGTCGATTTGCTTGAGCGGGCCCAGTAACGTCTCCATTGGAGACTTTGTTGTTACTGTGTCTGGCATATCGAATACTCTCGGTAGCTTGCCGGGCTCTCCGAGAGGGGCAGAGGAATCGAACTTGGGTCGGCCATGTTGGCTGCGTGCTAGGCAGACACCCTACCCCCTGTGCTATCGCTCCAGCACTATAATTATTTGTGGTTGTGGGGCCATACCTAGGTGTGATCAGGAGTTACTTCTGGCTCTGTACTCAGGGGTTATTCCTGGTGGTGCTTGGGACCATAAGTTGAGTGCCTTATCCACTGTACTATCTCTATAGCTCCTTCTTTTACTTTTTCAAGTTGACTGCTCTTAATCCCTCTTTCTATTTTTGTGTGTTTGTGCTGATGTTCCTCACATCCTATACTTTTTCTCATAGTTACTCAACAAACAAGGATGTATCAAGCACCATTGTGTAGCAGGGCTACATTGCAGTTTTCTTTGATGAATTTGACCTCCCAGTCCCAGTGTGATTTAATTTCAGCAGCTTTGTCAATACCCAGCTCATAGCACAGGAAATAGAGGTTCTTATAGTTCCTCTGAGAGATACTGTCCTCTCAAGGGTAGAAGAAAGTATAAATCACTCTTCTCTGGGCCAAAAACAAGATACTCTAAATACTGTCACTTTTATAAGGTCATCATATTCTTCAAAGTAAGAATTCCATTCTCAGAAGGAAACATTTCTAAAAAGTCAGTTCTAAGTGGCTTGAGTACTGGTATGTAGTTCTAAGATCAGTCAAGATAATGAAATCCTTCTGTGCTAGAAACACTCCTGAGTGTGTCATAGAAAGTGAATTACTTTCCAAAATGAATAAGTCCTTGTAGTGGTTGGTTTATGAATAAAATGAAAACTTATGTATCACGATGACCAATTGAAAACTGTTAAGTCTGTAATCAGTTGCCTTAGCCAAACTACAGGCTGGGTCTGTCAAAAGACAATACCTATACTGATAATATTAGTACTGGAACCCCAGGGGGTCATGGGTCAAAAGGAGAACTCCAAGTAGAGATAGACAGACAACTTTCTAACTATGGAGGTGATATCAACCTCTGAGTGAAAGAATTAGCATTTAGATACCATTTGCCACCTTATGCCTTAGAGAGGGCTTCTAGATATATATCCCATCATCCCACCTGATGAGGTCATCACCAATGTTTGGTTTTATTCCCACTTAAAATGTCCAGTAGTAAGCAGAAGTGGCAAAATACTTTTACTAATCTCACACAAGATATAAATCACTAGTCACTTGGCTCAAAAGTTCTGTTGAAGGTTCCTTGCATTATCCATATGTCATGGGACAGACACTAAAACAATTACCAAGTTATAAATACAGACAAAAGCAGCTTTGAAACATTCTTGAAGAATTGGAAAGCACGCAGTTACCTTCGTGAATGATTAACGTGGAATGACGTGATAGCAATAAGATTTATTGAGTGTTTCCTCTATGCCAGGAAATTTGTAAGCTTTTTGTTACTTAATAAAATAGTAACCCTGAAAGTCTTATTTTGTACTGAGGAAAGTTGAAATTCAGTGTCTACATTTACTTGAGATTATTAGAAAGTGTTAGAACCTGGATTTGAATCCAAGTCTCTAACTTGGAGCTGTTTGCCCGCCCACACGGCTCCCACAGAGGAAAGCGCTCACTCTAAGGGTTCTTGTGTGTATTTAGTCATCCTGTTTTCATGTAGTCCCTAGGGCTCATATGGTCTGGGAGAAATGCCAGCCAACAAAATAAGACTGGTCTCTGCCTACTTATACTGGGATGGAAAACTGGCAGAGCGGAATTATTGTGGATAATTGTGAATAGACATTAGTCCCCAAGCACTATTCTTTAAATTAGGGGATACTAACGTACTATCATTCTAGGAAGATGCGGGTGATGCTCATGTGCCATCAAGGTGAGAAACACTGACTGTGCCTGGCTTATAGCAAGCCCTCGATGAACTGTGGTTTATTCCTGAGTGAGATACAGCATTCCTGCACCCTTTTCCCTCATATAGAGGAGACTCGGCCTTTGCCTTGGGTAGTTGGTACCTCTGCTTTTATTTCTCCCTCTAATCTCACTGGATGTCTCTGTCCTTTCTCCACAGGTGACTGAAGGCCACTGGAAATGGGGCGGTGTTACGGTGCAAGTTAACAGTGCCTTTTTCACGGGCATCTATGGGATGTGGAACCTGTACGTCTTTGCGCTGATGTTCTTGTATGCTCCATCCCATAAGAACTATGGAGATGATCAGTCTAATGGTGAGTTCTAGTCTCATTGGCACGACAGTGCAGGAGAAGTAGGTATTGGTTTGTATCAGATTTCAGTAGCAAAAGGTCCAGGTTTACCAGTGGAATTTTCCTTTGAGTGTTTCTTAAGACCAGGAGATAACAGATGAGCACCCCTTGGGGCAGTGAAACTCTAGGACAAAAGGGAAATTCTTTTTTTTTTTTTTAAATTAACTCACTGTGAGATACAGTTATAAGCTTTCATGTTTGAGTTTCAATCATACAATGATCAAACACCGATTCCTTCACTAGTGCACATTCTCCACCGCCAATGTTCCCATTATACCCCCCGTTTCCAACCTCAATGGCAGACAGTTTCCCCCCTACTCTCTACTTTTGGGCATTATGGTTTGCAGTACAGATACTGAGAGGTTATCTATCATGTTTGGTCCTTTATCTACTTTCAGCACACATCACCCATCCTGAACGATTCCTACAACCATCATTGACTTAGTGATCCCTTCTCTGGGATGGAAATTAGGGGATACTCCATCCCCTCTCCTCCACACCCCATCCATGTTTTTTCTTCCATATGTCTGTTCTTGGGCACTCAGATTGTTTTCAGATTCTGGCTATTGTGAACAGTGCTGCAATGAACATATAGGTGCAGATTTCATTTCTGCTGTGTTTTTTTTTCCTTTTTGTGCCCTCAGAGTATATTCCCAGAAGTAGTATTGCAGGAAGCTCAATTTCTAGTTTTTGAAGGAATGTCCATATTGTTTTCCAAAAAGGCTGGACCAGTCGGCATTCCCACCAACAGTGAAAGAGTGTCCCAAAAAGGCAATTCTTAAAGAAAATGTCATTCTTTAATTTTTGCAATCCAGTCTGATGCTCCAGGTTGAGAACACAGATCATGTTTCATTCCTCAGTTATTTTGAACAAAATGTTTGATGGGAAATATGCCACATATCAAGAGGAATGGGACTGGGCCCTAGAAGTTAGAAAGGGCACTGCTTGATTTTTCTGGGAGGATGTTTGTTGACATCTATACAAATTAACAGCTCTCCCTGGCCTCTCTCCTTCCTGTCCTTGAGTGTTACTGTATGCTAGCTTTCATGTCCCAATGGAACATGCCCAGTCTGGTTATTGTATAGATGAAGAAACTGAGGCTCAAAGAAGAGAAGGAATTGCCTGGGGAGCCCTTTCTACTCTAGTGGCAGAGTGAAATGAATAGCATCACTCTGGCCAGTGCTGCTAACATGAGTAGGTGAACAACTGGTCTTATCATGCCTTATTCTTGGAGTGCTTGCTGTTCAGTTCTTTACTCTTCCTTCTTTTGTCACACTTGCTTTATCCTTGCCACACACATTGATTCTGCTCCTCCATCCCCTCTCCCCCACACCCCATCCATGTTCTTTCTCCAAAGGCATTGCCCTTCACTCCACCTCAGGATAGAGTTGAAGGCCAAGAGGACTGGCTTCCAAGGGTTGTCCTTACTTATAAAAAGTGCTCAGTAAGTAGGAAATGAATAAATGGTTTGCACAGTCTGCCCTCATCTGGGTCTGGTGAGATTCTATCTGCCTCTGAGCTCATTAATAAAGGCTTCCATCCCCTTGGAACCTGTTCTTGATCTTCTGGAGTCTAGCAAATGGCATGTAGTATAGGTACCATGGGATGTTGCTAGGGTTTAGCAATCAACTGGTTTAATTAACATTGGGTTAGTTGGCATCGATGAGGTTCCTATTGTAAGACCTTTTAATGTCTTTATTTTTTAATCTTTTTTAAATTTTTAATCATCAAGAATTACAGAGTTACAAAGTTATTCACTAAATTTCAGGCATTCAATTTCTAACACCAATCCTTTCATCAGTGTCCACTTCCCTCCACCAATGTCCCTTTTCCTTCCTAATCCTCTCTAGTCTGCCTCTAGAGTAATTACTTCCCCCCCCTCCTTCCACCATTGTCTAAGTAGTATCTTTCCACTCAACTCCCACCTCTAGCCTCATAGCAAGCTTCCTAATGAAGATCAGTTCTCCTGCTAGTCTTTCCTGTTGCCTTTGGAACTTTGTTATTCCCTTACAAAGTTTCTTCATGTCCCACATATGAAAGAGACCATTCTGTGTCTGTCCCTTGCTCTCTAACTTTACTCATCATGATATTCTCCACAGAGTGACCAGAATACGAAGGCAGCCCAGGGATGGGGAAGACTTTTTAATGTTTTTAGTATATTTATTTCTAATGTATGTCTCCTAGAACAGGTGAGTGTAATAGCCTTTCCCAACTGTATTAAACCATTTGGCCCTAGCACCACTTTCCGGGCTGTATATCTTTTGGAACTAGTGCTAAAAAATAGATATGGAGGGGTATGATTACATTTTCATGTGATGCTCAGTGTGCTGGAGTGTTGGGAGAGCTTGCCTGTTCCTTCATTCTTGCAAGAAGACTCACCTTCTTTGGGGCAAGGAAGGGTTTTTATATTTTTTGGATGGAAGGGAGTCTTGGGCACATCAGCAGTATTAGGGGGCAATTTTTGGCTCTGTACTCAGTAGTGATCCTTGGTGGGGATACTTGGGGAGCCATATGCAGTGCAGGCATTGAATAGGGTCATCCATGCCTTGATCCATGTCCTAGATCTCTGGTCCCCATGCTGTTTCCTGTTGAATCAACAAACAAACAAAACTGAAAAATAGGAGCTTTCAGTTAGCTCTTTTATTTTTCAGACAGGCAGTAAGCTTGTGAGGAGTGGTCAGAAGGATGATTATGGCAAAAGCACTGGAGCAAGGAGGGGAAGGGATTCGTGATGGGCTTCAAGGGTACAATGATAGTTTTGGGCACCAGATGTCTGGTACCACACCTGCCGCTTCTGAGCCAGAGCCTTTTGGATACTGTTTTTTTCCCTTCTTCTTCCAGCACATTTAGGGGAAAGACTTGGTGTCCTACTCAGTTTCAGGCCCATCTCCAGCCTTGAGTTCTAGGCAAGAGCAGACTCCTGGCTCATCCCCTCGCAAGACCAGGCCTTGCCTTGTCTGACCTCCTTTCTGGAGGGATTAGAAACCATTCTTCTCCTTCTCACTGCTCAGTCTTTGACTCTGCCTGGAGAATGGAACATGCAGGGTCTCCCACGGGCCTTCCAAGCACCAACAGGAGAGAGTTCTGGCTTTGCAAACAGGAATCTTCACTTCATTTCATGGCTGTCTTGTTGGACTTTGAAACCACATGGCCAACTTCGATCAAGAAGTAACTGTATAGTTTCTGCCTTCCCAGGAAATATCACCATAGATCAGTGACTTGCCTGACTGAAATGTTGAAATGATTATGCTCATGGTGACCCGATACTGGCCCCAGACTGGCCCTAGCATCTGCATCATTATATATACTATGTTATATCCACATAATGGGTGTCAGTGTTTGGTTGCTTGTACTGTGTGACCAGTGACAACTTTCTCATCTCAGTCGTCCCTACTTTAATTGATCCTTTTATGTGGGGGGAGGGTCACACCTGGTATTGTTCAGGGGTTACTCCTGGCTCTGCACTCTGGAATTACTCCCAGTGGTACTTGAGGAACCACATGGGATAATGGGGATCAAACCGGGTTGGCTGGGTGCAAGACAAGTTCCCTACAGGCCGTACTATCCCTCCAGCCCCATGATTTCTTCAATTTTTTTTCAACCAAAAAAGCTAATTTGTAGGGGGTAGGTACCTCCAGAATACCATACCACCGCCTCCCTGAGACACCAGAAACCTGGCATTTGAGAGTGACCTTCAGTCCAGTCCCCATCAGAATTCTGTGGCTGTTGAAGATACTGAATTGTCATCCCATAGGCAATCAGTTCTCAACCAAAGGACAGATCCTCTAGCTCCCTTGTCAAGGAGCACTTGGAAGTGAGTGTGATGCTTATGGATTGTTACTGTGGCAAGGTTGTGCCCTGGCATTTAGCGTCTAGGGTTATGAAAATGTCCTGCAGAGAGCTGGGTAGTCCTGAATAGTAAAGAACTATTTCCTTCCAATTGCCCTTTGAGGTCTTGTTGGTTTTTTTGTTTGGTTTTGTTCACGTTTTTTTATTGTGGGGTTTTGGCCAAACCCAGTAGCAGTGCTCAGGGCTTATTCCTTACCTCTTGAGTTCAGAACTCACTCCTAGCTAGCTCAGGGGACCACACAGGGTACAAGAGAGGAACTCAGGTTGACCATGTACAAGGAAAATTCATTAGCTGCTGTACTATCAATCTTGCCTTCCTCACCCCCACCCAGTGTTGAAAAACACTCTTATTGGGGCAACACCCAGTGGTAGTCAGGGCTTACTCCTGGCTCTGTGCCCATGGTTCACTCCTTCAGTGCATGAGGGACCAAATGTGGCGGTAGGGATTGAACCCAAACAAGCTCCTTACCCACTGAGCTGTCTCTCTGACCCCTGGGAAACACTCATGAAGCTGGTTGGGTGGAACAGACTATTGAGGAAGCTTGTGCTGCCCCTAAACATGGATCCTCATGATTTAGCAGGGAGGCAGGATCATATGCCCTACAGTCGTGATGCTCCTACAGTCATGAGAGCCGGGCAGCTCCCTGTGCCCCGTGCTTTCCCGTGTGTTGTCCTGACATGGCATGGGAAGGCTGCCTCCTTGCTGGGTTCTCTGATCACTTTCCTCTCTGCTCTTTTGCTTTGTGTCTCTCCCTTGACCTCTGGGCCCTAACCCTGGGTCCTAGGCCTGATGGAGCCCTGGCCAGGATTTCAAAGCTCCCTGGGGAAGCCAGCTTTTGGAATGTCATATGGAAACCTGGCAAATGAATGCTCGGGGCCACACTCTGTTTTTAAATTCGCCGAGTCTCTGGCTGGCATTCCCTCTCCTCCCCCAGCCTTCCCGTGCTCCTTTTCCTTTCCCGTGGAAAGTTTTTATTTTTAAATTGGCTTCGATCCCTCCCTCCCCTCACTTCTAAGGTCTGGAGCCAAGAATGTAGATCTCTGGCTCTGGAGAATGAGTCCCAGGTGCATGGCAATACCAGCCTTCAGGAGGCAGATCCTGCACAAATTCCGGG